GGCATAGGAGTCTCAAGATCTATACCCACAATGCACACGTGGCCTCTCCTACCTTGTTCTAGATTGTCCTAGCTTGAGTGATGACCATTAGAGGGGCCAACCTGCCCCCTGCACTGAGAGTCCCCAGGAAGGAAGTGCTGGGTGCTCTTTGCCACGTTATGAGGTTCTGAGTAAGGCAAGTTGCAGAGGGCTGTAGCTAAGCTTGAAGCACAGTGGAGGACCACCAGTGGAGAAACTGAGGCCAGGAAAGGGGTGGGGCCTTAGGGAGCCTTACCCATGTTCACATAGCACGAGAAAGTGTTCTACATAAGGACTCTAGGAGCCTGGAGGTCTCCCTCAGACCTTTACCCCAATTCCTATCCTGCTTCTGGTCTGGGCAGGTTTCTGTCTCTCTCTGGACCACAGCTGGGTTAAGTGAGGAACATAGGTCTCTTGAGGATAGACTCCCCCAAACCTGTGTTCTTGTCCACTGCCAGGCGGTCAGTGGGAAATGCCTGGGGCACATGGAGCATCGAGGTTATACAGATTCCATGGAAAAATACCAGGCTTCCTTAGCGGCTGGACTGGAGGTGCTGAGGCAGGAGGCAGGAGGCAGGAGAGGAGGAGGGAGGAGAGAAGAGGGAGGAGGGTCTGATGTGTGGGGGCTCTGAACGAACAGGCTGCCTTGCCTGTTCCAGGGACAAGGATGTAGCACACAGCCTGCCAGACGGAAGAGGAAGGAAGGAAGGGGGGGGGGGGAGGCAGGGAGAACATGTTCCCGTGGCTCAGGAAGGAAGGCTGCCGGCAAGGGAGGGGAACTCAGCCCTGGGGAGAGCACCTCAAACTCTCATGGTTCCACAGGCCCAGCTCCAGTCCTGCCCCCATGCCCTAGCCTGCCTCTGTTATTGGCTAGCTCGGTGGTCTGAGGCAGGTCTCCTAACCAAACAGGGCCTTTGTGGAAACCTCTGTGAGAAACAGCAGCTCTGGCTTCCAGTCTCCATTTTTTTTTCTTTCCTGTCATCTCCCCCAGGCTTGTCCCCGCCTAGATGGTCTCCTTCAGTCTTGTCCTGAACAGCTGTGTATCCCTGTGCCCTGGGGGAGACCGGCACTTCAGCTCCTGAGACCATCATTGCCCAGCCCTGCCGTGTCCAGAGACTGACAGTGGGGGTGACCGGAAGTCATTCAGCCAGCAGAAGGCTGGTGGGAGGGCCAGGTGTCCTCCCTCCCGCGGGTGGCTCATTCACATGTCAGCTCAGCCTGAGCTCAGGAGGCCTTAAGAGTCAGTAGGCAGTGGTTCTATGAAGGACTCGAGGTGGGGCCCTCCTCCCTTCCTCTCCTGCCCACGCCGACACACAGGAAGGACTCCAGCAGCCTTCAGCTTGGTGGGGCTTTGTTCCCCCACTGCCACAGAGGGAAAAGCGAGGCCAGGTGACTAGAACGGGTTGTGGAGCGGCTCACCCTTTCTTTTCCTCAGACCCACGCCAAATGATTGCTCTGGGTCCCTGGTTTCAACTCAAAGTACAGACCTGGAGTTAGCCAGGGTACCAGGACGTCATCTCTGGAGCTGAGGAGCAGGGACAGGAGCTGGGACCTCTGGTCCAGACAGCAAAGGACATTTGTGCAAAGTGAGTGGCAGGAGGCTGTCTAGAGATTTGATAAAGACCCCTGGGCCAGGGGCTGGGCGGGAGGTTCTGCAGATCAGCCAATCAAGAGGCAAAAGCCTATACCCCTTCTCCTGTGCCCTCACAGATGGGGGGTCTGTGAGCAAATGAGAGCAGAAGCCCACCAGGTTCCTGCTGTGCCCACCTCTGCTGCCCTGGCTTCTGGCTCCATGAGGAATGAGGTCCCACAACCCATATCACAGGGGGAGGGATGATCAGGGTGTTCGTGTGTGTATATGCTTGCTCATGGGTACAGACACACACCTGTGTTCAAAGTATACCTCTGTGTGCAGGTGCAGGGGTGGCCACGAGATCTGTCCTTGAAGGAGCTGCCCTCTCCCTTATTACTACTGAATACTAACTGTCCAGTCTTGGGACTGCTGGGGGATCTGCTGGGAAGACCCTCTAGCCAGGCAGGGACAGTTGTGCCTCACAGCATCCAGGAAGGGTCTTCAAGCTATCCTATAGGAACAGGGAGGAAACTTGAGGGACCCTAAAACCCTCATGCCTCTGGGAGTCTAGGTGGTGGGGACTCTGATGTATGTGATTCCTGCCAGGAAGCTTGTACTCATGGGAAATCTCAGGTGGGGAAGAGAAGCAGGAGAGCAGGAGGCTCCAGAGACAGGGGCAAGAGAAGAAGCTGAGGGACACTGAGGGCTCAGAGCTCTCTGACTGACATATTGGGAGGGGGCCTCATCTTGAAAAAGGCAACTTAGCATCATAGTATCCCGAAGTAAAGGCCGTGAGGTCAGAGCCGAGGGTGTCTTGGAGTCCTGGGAGCAAAGGGCAAGACGGATGGGGCTACCTGGTCACTTGGATGATCTTAACACTCTAAGGACTCACTGAGGTCACCCAGGCCAGCCCCATCCCTGAGGACTCCTGCTTTTCAGCAGGCCAGACATTTAGAATCTGAGGTAGCTTGGCTCTGATTCCCCTAGGTTCTTTTCCTGCATAGGCCCACCTCCACCCTCCCTAGAGTCTTCCCCAACCTTCAACTAACGGGGCTGAGGGTGGCATTATTAGCTCTCTCATGGGGCAGGATTGGAGTGTGCGTGGGGGGGTGGGTGCTGGAGGAGTATGGGTTAAAGTCCCCCTCCCTGGAGGCAGGGAGCTGGACTGGCCTCTTTTCCAGTGGCAGAATGTAGCCCCAGGCTGCAGTGCGGGGGTTTGCTGAGGACTTCTGGGGCGGTAATTGGGCAGCGATTAACTGTTCCCAGAGCAGCAGTGGCTGTTGGCTGCGCCTGTCACCTGTCACTGGGTTCCTGTGTTCACAGCTTCTGAAGACCCTGAATGAAGAAGGCAGGGTTCCATGTGACCAGTCACCCCAGTGGGGCTCAGAGCAGAGTGTCTCAGGAACGGTGGCCCGAATGGACGGTTCTCTATGGGGACAGATGAGGTGGCTGGAGGGCCGTAGCACCTCAGCTTTGGAACTTCTCCACTATTTGTGCACAATTCCCCTACAAATGGGATCTGGAGGACACTGGCCCCTAGGTGACAGTGTGGCTCATCATGCTTGCCACCTCTGGCCGGCTTGCTTGTCCCTGCATTCCAGGAGGCTGTCCTCTGGCTTCTGTTGTGGGTACATACAGGCTGACTCTGGCCGCTAAAGGGCTGCTGCTGCCACACGTGTGTGCAAACAGAACAGAGTCCTGATGGCTCAGCAGCCTGACACCATGGCGTAGGACCTTGGTCAACCTTCAGCTCCAGACTCAGGCCTGCAGCCTCCAGCTCCCAGGACTTCCTCCATAGGACGAATCTAGCTCGTTCCTATTCTAGTAATTTCTCTGCCTGCTCCCCCTCCCGGTGGTGGTGCCCCTCTGCCTGCCTTCTGTGTCCGCCTACTCACCTCTAATTAGAAACGCCAGGAGAGCCATTTGGGGGGAGGTTCCCCCAGAAAGATATTTCCCTTAGGAATGGAAGCCCCGTGGGGGAAGGAAGGAGACAGGTTGGCTCTACGTGAGGCAGGGCTCCCCAAGACTTTCAGAGAGCAAGGGAGGGGCTCTGAGGGGTGCCAGGTGAGGGCATTCTGTAGATGCATGAACAAGAGCGGGGTGGGGGAGGCTGAGGGATGAGTGTATGTGCATTGCAAGTAGGGGCCATAAGTATGCGTGGAAGGCTGCGAGTGGGGGACATTAGTGTGAGTGGAAGGCTCTGTGGGAGGCACATTCGCGTGTATGGAAGGCTGTGTGTAGGGGTCATGAATCTGTATGAAGAGCTGTGAGTGGGGGCACTAGTGTTCATAGAGGGCTGTGAGTGGGGGGCATGAGTGTATATGGAAAGCTGTGAGTGGGGGGCATGAGTATATATGAAGGCTGTGAGTAGGCTAAGTGTTGAGGGGCTATGAGTGTTTAGGGTGTATGTATGAGTGAGAGAGACGGGGGAGCTGGCAGAGAGAGAAAGATGTTCTTGCAGGCACCATGTGTCTGTGGGCCCCTTCAGGCTTCTATTGTGGGCAGTGATATGTCCCCAAGTCACATCAGAGGATGGGAGACCCAGGCCCATATATCTAGCTTGGAGTAAGCCAAGAAGGATGCCCTCCCCCACTGCACCACAGCGCTGTTGCCAGGGAATCGGAAGGGGCCTCCCTCTAGAGGGAATCTCAGCTTCCGGAGCCCCATTCCTTATATGGTAGCTTGCTTTCCTCTGCCAGCTCCTTGTCTCCCCTTCCTCCTCCTTCCTCCAGTCTAATCTCTTAGAAGTCTTGAAGCTTCTAGTCCACTTCTGGCTGTGCCCTGGGGCTTTGGGGCTCAGCAATGTCGCCTGCATCTCTCACAACCCCTATACCTTAGCCCGATGTCTGTGTGGGTTCAGGTGATGCATCCATCAGATTCCAGGCACTGCAGTCCCGTTCAGCCACTTACATACAGACACGGGTCACTCGACCTTCACAAACGCACCAATGCAGGGGCCCAGAAAAAGCCTTGCCTGAGTAGAGTCCCTCACAGAGTTGGACCAGGGGGCAGGAGCACTGTGTGTGTGTGTGTGTGTGTGTGTGTGTGTGTGTGTGTGTGTGTGTGTGGCGCGCGCCTATTAACACAAGGCAGCCGAGGACGGATGGATCTGGAGTGAAGGGGTCCTATCAGGCTCTTCTGAGGCCGCATAGTATGTAGTCAGGTTGGGCAAGGATCAGGTTGGGGACATCAATGATCCAGAGGCGTAGTGTCCAGCTGCCCCCTAAGAAAAAAGACATGAGACCCTGAAGGCAAACAGCAGGTAATAACTTGTCTCACCCATATCCTTGCTGCCCAGGATTAGGTAGAAGAGTGTCTCTGGTCTCCCATGGTCCCTCCTGTCCCAGAACTCCCGGTGGGAGGCGCGCGGCAGAGCAGATTAGTCACTCCGGGTGAGCCGGCTGTGAAGGGGCGGGTCCATGCGGGCACCCGCGGGAGAGGAGCGAGTAGGCGCGGGGGAGGCGGGGCCTGCGGCAGGAGAGGGCGCGGGCGGGCGCTGGCGCGCAGCCTGGGCACCGCCAATGGGAACCGGGGCTCGGCGAGCTGCCGCCCACGGGCCCCCGCGCAGCATAAAGAGCCGCAGCCGCCGGCTCCAGCGCAGTGCTGAGGCGACCAGTCCTCCTGCAACTGCAGTCTCTGGGCCTCACCAGCTTCAGCACCGGCGCGCCTGCCACTCTTGCCGAGTTCCGCGCATCACCGCGCACCTGCCACTGCCGCTCCGCGCCTGCCGCTGCCGCCTCGGCTGCCTTCCCGCTTCCGCCCCAGAGGAGTTCGCAGCCTGTCTGGACCCGCTGCACCTGCGAGCAGATGGAGCTGGACCATAGGACGACCGGTGGCCTCCACGCCTACCCTGCCCAGCGGGGCGGGCCGGCAGCCAAGCCCAATGTGATCCTGCAGATCGGTAAGTGCCGAGCCGAGATGCTGGAGCATGTGCGGAGGACCCACCGGCACCTGCTGACCGAAGTGTCCAAGCAGGTGGAGCGAGAGCTGAAAGGGTTGCACAGGTCGGTGGGCAAGCTGGAGAACAACTTGGACGGCTATGTGCCCACCGGTGACTCACAGCGCTGGAAGAAGTCCATCAAGGCCTGTCTCTGCCGCTGCCAGGAGACCATCGCCAACCTGGAGCGCTGGGTCAAGCGTGAGATGCACGTGTGGCGGGAGGTCTTCTATCGCCTGGAGAGGTGGGCCGACCGCCTGGAGTCCATGGGCGGCAAGTACCCGGTGGGCAGCGAGCCGGCTCGCCACACTGTCTCTGTAGGTGTGGGGGGTCCAGAGCCCTACTGCCAGGAAGCTGATGGCTATGACTACACTGTCAGCCCCTATGCCATCACTCCACCACCTGCTGCCGGAGAGCTGCCTGATCAGGAATCAGTGGAGGCCCAGCAATACCAATCTTGGGGGTCAGGTGAGGATGGGCAACCAAGCCCTGGTGTGGATACCCAGATCTTCGAGGACCCACGGGAGTTCCTGAGCCACCTGGAAGAGTACCTGCGGCAGGTGGGTGGCTCTGAAGAATATTGGCTGTCCCAGATCCAGAACCACATGAACGGGCCAGCCAAGAAGTGGTGGGAGTTCAAGCAGGGCTCGGTGAAGAACTGGGTGGAGTTCAAGAAGGAGTTTCTGCAGTACAGTGAGGGCACGCTCTCCCGTGAAGCCATCCAGCGGGAGCTCGACCTGCCACAGAAGCAGGGTGAGCCACTGGACCAGTTCCTCTGGCGCAAGCGGGACCTGTACCAAACACTGTATGTGGACGCTGAGGAGGAGGAGATCATCCAATATGTGGTGGGCACCCTGCAGCCCAAGCTCAAGCGATTTTTGCGCCACCCACTGCCTAAGACTCTGGAGCAGCTCATCCAGAGGGGCATGGAAGTGCAGGACGGCCTGGAGCAGGCAGCTGAGCCTTCTGGAACCCCACTGCCCACAGAAGATGAGACCGAGGCCCTCACACCTGCCCTTACCAGCGAGTCAGTAGCCAGTGACAGGACCCAGCCTGAATAGATGGATCAGACCAGGGTCCCCAGCCTGCCTGCCACAACCAGCCTGTGGCCTTTGCCAACTAGGACTTGAGCTGGGGCTGACTCCCAAAGCGGTGCCCTGTTCAGCCTGGCATCTACTCACCCCCTGGCCTGACTCACAGACAACTGCCACACAACCATGCTACATGGACTGAACATGAAGAAGCCCCTCTCCCACAGGGCTCCCACCCGTCACCTGCCCTGGCCCTGGCCCGAGTCCCGTTGGCCTTACCCTCCACATTCTCAGACCATCATAGAACACCTTTGAATTCTTCATTCTGCTCCAGTGCCTGGGCCCTTTGGGGCAGTAGGCACCACACCACAGAGCACCCCAGGGCAGAAGCGAGAGCAGAATCAATGCCGAGAGAATCTCAACCCCAGGGATACAGCCCGCTCCTACAGACACAGCAGATCCAGCTGGTACCCTAGCTGCCTCCCAGGGCAACTGACCAACCTTGGTCAGCATAGCTCCCCTCCTAGGGGTGAGCTAAAGCCACAGTGCAGCTGAAGCAGCAGACCTGACATCATGGCACCTCCTGGCCTCTAGGTGAGCCCTGCCCCATGTATCTTAGAGTTGGGGTGGGGAGGACACAACCAAGTTCATTTTCCAGGAAGCCTTCAAGGCTTCTCTAGCAAATTAACTGCAGGGACGGGATGGAGTGGAATCAGGGTGGGGTGCCAACATAGTGGGCATTGGGACTGCAGGGGTCAAGGAGGGGGCTGAGGAGGGGGCAGTACTGGGGGAGTTTGCTGAGCCAGCTCACAGAGACCCTATGCTTTCTCACCCCAGCAGTGAATCATACCAGCGAAGAAAAGCAGAGCTCAGCTCCATGACTCAGCCGTGGCAGGCGGAGGGTCCCAGAGGGGCTGAGTCCTCACACCCAGCTGAGGCAGCAGCTGGCACCTTCAGAGCCAGGAGAATGACATCAGGTAAGAGAGTCTTGCCTCCTGCCCTGATCAGGTCCCAGATCCCAGCCACTCTCCAGATCTCTGGGTTTTCTGAGAAGTCCTCACTGGCCCTGGGGCACCTGTTGGGGGGGCAGGGTAGCCTACTGCCCCTCCAAGATCTCAGGGTGAACAGTTCTCTAACCATCTCGCTGCTTCCTGTCTCCCTCAGGTCTCAAGGCTGCTGAGAAGTCTTCCTCATCATGCCTGGAATGGGCACCACCACAGCACCGGCACCGTCCCCTCCTCTCTCGAAGCTGTCTGCACAGAAGTTCCAAGACACTTGCAGAGCAGAGAAAACATTACAGAGAGGAGACGCCTGGCAGAGGGCAGCACCCTAACTCAGCCTGAGCTGGAGATGAAGATAGGCCAGCGTGAAGCCAGGGTCTGCCATGACGCCCACCCCGCTGGCTACTAGCTGCCCGCCATGAGCCACTGCAGCTTGAGTAGGGTCTGTGCTCCTCGCCCTCTTTGCACAGAACCCAGCTCGCTGTGTGGCCATTGCCCCCCCCCTCGCCAGAACCCGGCAGGAGCCTTAAGGCTTGGGCCCCAGCCCAGCCTGCCCCTTCCTGCTGTGCCCTGCCTGCCGGTCCAAGCCCAGCCCAGTCCCAGGAGACCCCAGGCCTTGGCTCCTGGGCTGTTCCAGGCATTCCCTGCCCTGACGTGCAGTGGCTCAGCTGAACCGCATCCAGCTGCAGCACCACTGCCTCGTGCTGGCTGGTCGCTGCTGTGTCTGCGGTCTGAGTAGGCCTTGTTGAGGTTCCTCCGTCTTGACTGGTCCACTGGTGTCCTGGGACCAGTTCCACTGATGCCTGACAGATCCTATGCCCCATGCCCCTGCCAGTCCCCACAGCTTTATTTTTGCACATAAGCTACGACCCATATTCATTTGGTTGGCACAGGGTGTAGGGAGGCCCTTGGGACTAGGGAGACCCTGAAGATCTCAAGAGAGTGTGGCTATCCCCTATTCCCATCAAGCCTTGAAAATGCAGTCAGGCCATCTGTCCATACCATCTTACCTCGAAGACAGATTTTTATATAGATATAGAGATACAGATATATATATATATACACATATATAAGATTTTGTTAATAAAACCATGGAACTTCCTGGAGTCTAGTTTGTGCTGTTTCTTAGGCGTGTGGGCTGGGCTGAAGCAGAACCTCAGAGAAGAAGGCTGCTCCTCTGAGGTTGACTGCTCAGGGAAGTGCAAGGAGGGGGGCACAGGGACCAGGAACAATGTTTATGGACCCCAGAGAAACTAGCGTCCATGGAAGAGCACTCACTCACCTGGAGGCCATAGCTTTGTCCATTGGCTTTTGATGACTCCCCATCCACACACACACACAGACCACATCACACCACACACACACACACATACACACACACACACACACACCACACACACCTTGAGCTCAACTATGAACTTTCACTATACCTGCGAGACACCTTTGAAGCACTGCAGAATTCGGGTGTGCTTGAGTGATCCAGTGGCCCAACAGATCATGACAACTGCCATGGTCACCTACAGATGTCCACTGTCCCCTCTACTGGGGGTTCTGCTTATTGGAGCCCCAGGCAGGCCAACCAGGCTAGCCAGGAACAACATGAGCCTAACTGAGCCCAGCTCAGCCCAGCCCAGCCTGGGAAGAGCTGCACCTGCTGGGGCCTGGAAGGAGCATGGCACCTGCCCAGGAGAGGATCGAGCCTGCCAGACTCAGAGCAGAGGCCTGGGAGGCAGGTTACAGACGGAAAGGAGGAAGCCACCTGCTGCCAGGAAGTGTCGTCACCCTCGGCAGGGCCAGCAGGAGCCACGAGTGCCAGGGAAGATGAAAAGATGCCTCTGCCCTTCTCTTCCCCTAATTCTTTTAAATACTGAAAGAGCTGACAAGAGGCAGGGAAAGTGGCAGAGGCAGAGGCGGATGCCCCCACAGAGAACGGCCGCTCTCTTGCTCCCACACTGCTGCTCTCGAGAACCTGGGACCAGACATGGTTTTCCTTTTAATAAGTTGCCACTGTGAATGACAGGCTTTCCAAACACAAGCAATTTGAGACACGGTTCTATGTTTCTGTACCCAAGGAAACAGGCAAAAGGCCCCACATGGGGTGTGACAGGGGGTAGAGGGGCTGGACCCATTCTCCCTTCCTGTTGTGCTTCACCAGCTCTGGTTATACCAGCCCACTGGGTATCATGGAGTGCTTAGTCTTCTCACAGTAGAGCAAGGAAACTGAGGCGGAGAGAGCTGTGCTTGCCTCAGGTTTGGAACTGAGCTGGGTCTGTCATAGGGGCTCCAGGATATCCTTTGGGCTCAGCCTGAACAACCAGTTTGGCAGGACTCTGATCATATCCCAAGGCCATGGCCTTTTTCTGCTATTGTGAGAAGTCAGAAGCTGGCTTTAGTGAGCCAGTGAGCCGGGCAGGGCGTGACAGCATGGACTCACAGCAGAGCAGAGGTGCAGGTACGGGGCCTCTGCCTTCTGTAGATAATGAGGAGTGTGGGAGAGATGGACACCTTTTCAAATGGACACGGAGGGTTAGAGGGACCTCCTCTGGGCATGGGTAGAATGAGCCCAGCCTCCCAGGACTCGGCTGAGTCCCAGGTAGGGAAAAGTCAGAAGGACATCAGACCCCTTACAACTTAGTCCTGGGTTCCTGCCCTGCTGTGTTTCTCTCCAGTGGAGAAGGAATCTACAGTCCAGAGCCCCTTCATCCTGTCCTTGAGGTACAGACCACATTTGAGGATCAGTTCCAGTGGCTTGGCTCAGTCCCCACGACCCTTTACAAGGGCACTCCGAGTCTTGGGGTATCTCTCAGTGGGTATGGGTGATCTGGGGGATTAGTTCAAGATGGATGGCCCTAGGTATGTGAGTGGGTGCCCTGGGGATGAGGTGGGGAGGAGAGGAAGAAGGGAGGGCCAAGTAGTCTGAGAATGGGAGAGGGAGAGGAAGAAGAGGGGAGGGCTTGGCCTCCAGGCTGAGGGATTTCCTTCGGTCCCCAGTCCCTCCTCCGCGGGGGCCTCTCAGCCTACCCTGCCAGGGCACAGCATGCGTTCCTATTTTCTGAGCCCAGGGCAGAAAGTACAGTGAGGTGCCAATGGGAGGGACCCGTCAGTGTGGTTCATTCCACAAGGCTCAGGGAACCCAGGGCATTGCTGGTGACTGGGGTGGGGGCAGGGACAGGGACAAGAAGCAGAAGGACACCCACCGACAACCCTACTTCAGACTGGCTATGTGCCCTTCAAGCTGAGCCAAGGGATACTCGCAGACCAACCCTGGCTGTTCATGACAGACTGCCACCAGCCAGTGGAGGAGGATTAGCAGCTGTGCTACTGTGACCAGCCACCCCCAGGCTTCAGGAAACCCACTGATCACCATGGAGGAAGAGGCTCCATCACCAGTCATCTGGGCACAGAGTCAACAGACAGTAGGGTCCTATGTCACCCTACCACACAGACACACACCCCGCGCCTATTTCTTCCTCTGAGTTTTTACAGGCAGACTTATTTCCTGGTCTGGGCAAGTTCCATTTGCCCTGGGCTTGGAAGGTGAATGAAAAAGATTTGTTGAGAAAACAGATGGCCAGAACTAGCCAAACCTGGGGTTGTCTATCCATATGGCTTTCTTTCTTTCCCCTTCCAGCTGGATCCCCTGACACAGGGTGAGAATAGGAGGGAGTATCTGCCTGTTGTACTGAGTTCCTGTCCTGGCCTGTGACTGCAACCCAAAGCAGGACCACAGGCCCCAGGCTTTTAGGGCCTGTCTGGGAGGACCTGTTAAAAATCAGTTGCTTCTGCCTGCCACCATTAGGGGTATGGCAGATAGTGTCTTGGGAAGTGTCACAGACAGTATGTCCACATGAGGCCGGGGACAGGTCTTCCTCAAACAGCAGTGTAGCCAGCTGCAGTCCTTCTTGTGATGTCAGGTCTAAGACACATTCAGAATGACAAGCTTATTGGGTCCCTGCTACTGAAACTTCATGATCTGGCCCCACCTGCCAAGCTCAGCATCTTTCCTGTGTTGTGTTCTTGTAAACTTGACTTTCTTGCTGTGTGGAGGCCAGACAAGAGGCAGGGGCTGAGTTTGCGATGGTTCTATTGAGGGTCAGAGAACTGTTCAGATGGACCGAAGATGGCGCTCTACCTGAGATAACCTGTCTCCTGCTCCCACTGACCCTTGACTGACTCCAGCACCTATGGAGCCCATCTATGGGCCACTCGTGACCCCTGCTTCTAGCCACCTTCCTTCTACCTCCGACAGGTTACTCCTTCTTCCTCTGACCTCTCATTCCCATAGGAAGAGAGGAGGATTTTCAGGTGCCTCCTCCTCTCTTCCGATTTTCCTCTGCCTCCTCTGGAGGGGTTCTCCCACGCCTGCCAGCGCTTCTAGCTTGTGCCCTAGTTTTGAAGGCACTGGGTGGCATACATTAGCCTGTTTCCTCTGAGAAGGAGGCCAACACCCACTTGGGTATGGGGGCTCCCATATGGAAAAAACAGGCATAGGACACAATCCTCTGTCCAGAAGCCCCATTTCTGTCTGGAGTGACCCCAGAGCTGAAATGTCCACTCCTTATGTGTGTGGAGAAACTGAGGCCAAAGAGAGGTAAGGAGTCAACAGGCAAACCGCAGGGCATCCTCCTGTCTGTCCTTCCTCAGCTCCTCCCTCAAAGTTCTTGTCCCTCCCATCCCATAAAGTCCAAACCAGCAGCCCTTCTGGTCCTGCTCCAGAATGACCTCTGCCTAGACCACCACAGGAAATCCTAATGCTCAACCTAATGACACCTTAATAGGGAGAGCCTGGCCTGAGTATTAACAGACGTATCATGGCTGCTCTAGAAGCTGGCTGGACTACACCATCATGGGCACCCATTCTGCATAGTGGGGCTCGCTTTCTCCAAACGCTAACTCTTAAGAGAGCTCCATAGCTGGTTCCTAGGCCTCCCCACTCTGCCTGATGATCCATAGTCACAGATCTGGTATTTCTGTCTCTGCCGCCTGCTTGGGTTACTCATTCGGTTAAGAACAGTGGCTTCACACTGTTCCTTGCTCAGAATACTGTCTTCATGAAGCGAGCTTTAGACTTGAGTTCCTCCATTTTCAGGGCTGGTACCACATCTTGCTGAACAGTAAACGGCCTCCATCTGCTAGCATGTTAGAAAATACAAACTGGTCGGCTATTTATGTCCCCAAAAGAATTATACCTGTGCAGGTGATACAGGATCTTATCTGAAACACAGTACATGAGCTCGGCAACCATAGAGGATGAAACCCTTCACCTTGGGTAATAAAGGACCTCAAGACCTGGCAGTCACCCTGACCTCTTAGCAGGCACTTCTCAGGCACTCCTCCGTGCCCACACTCCCGTCTGTGCTATGCTGTGGGACAATGGTCTGTATTCTGTCCATTATATTTTAAATAAAACGCTGATTGGTCAGTAGCCAGGCAGGTAGTATAGGTGGGACAACCAGACAGGAAGTAGAGGTGGGAAATGAGAACAGGAGAATTCTGGAAAGAGGAAAGCTTTGTCAGCAGTCCTGACCCTGCTACAGAGCAAGCAAGATGTAACTGCCTCGCTGAATAAGGTACCGAGCCATGTGGCTAACATAGACAAGAATAGTGGGCTAATATAAGTTATAAGAGTTAATAAAAAGCTTGAGCTAATGGGCCAATCCGTATATAGTTAATGTAGACCTTTGTGTGATTTCTTTGGGACTTAACAACTGCGAGAACCGGGCAGGACAGAACCTCAGTCAACAGTGCTGAATTGCACCAGATGCAGAGCTCTACAGGACACTCAGACACAACACTGTCCTCTAGGCAGAAAAGACCTCTCAGCATGAATGTCAGTTAATCTGCCTGTGAGTCCCAAGGCAAACAGTAGTCATCAGCTGAACCACACAGTCTCCTTGTGTCTGTCTTTCCTCATCCTACCCCAGGGTCCAGCCAGTAGAGATACCTGGATAGAGGATCGGGGACCAGTCTGGTTCTCACTGTCACACATCTCCAGTGTCCCCTCTATTCCTCCTCTCTCTCCTATCTCTCCGTGCACCTCCATCTTTTATCTCCCATCTCTCTCTGCCTGCAT